CCCAGTGCGCATGCCGTGCTCCCTTGATGCTTGGGCCGCTGTATTTGGGCCTGAGACGCTCCCTGGGCCCATTGGGCTTGTCTAGGAAAACTAGGAGTCTATGGGCCGGGGGCTCCTGGGCCATATACTCCATCACAGCCGATCGATGTCTTCTTCCTCAACTTCGCACTCCCGTCCTCAGCGCAAGATGGAAGAATACACCTTTGTACGGCAAACCAGTAAAGTATATCGCACTCTCGTTGTCCATCGTCATCTTGGCAAATGCTTCATCTGTCGGCTTGAATCTGCTCCCAATTTTTTTCGATTCAGAACAGGGGAACAAGCTACGGAGGCGCTAGACAAGAAAGAGAGAACTGAGGTAGATGGTGGTTCGCCCTTGATTTCACAAAATATTACAAAAAACCCCGGCTTACCGTGCACACGGTACAGCCGGCTGTACCGTAGATTTTACCAGCAATAAGGTATACATATATATGAGATATATACGGACCGAATATATGTGTGTATACACGTATACATATACAGTATTTGGAAAACATACACCTCAAGATTCATACATATACACATGATAAAGTGAGCTTTGATATACAAATAGGTGAAGAAAACTTGGGAATTGAAGAAGAGACATACCTGGAGAAAAGCCCGCTGGGAGCTTGGGAGGTGGAGAATAGTTCGCTGCTGGAGGAAGGAGAAGTGGAGAACAGTCCGTTGGAAACCTGGGAGATGAGTACAGTTCGTTAGGAGTAAATAAAAAAGGTAAAAGTTGTAACACTTCATTACACCCCAATTTGGGGTGTTAAGAAATTGATAGATATAGGTATTAGAAAGGGTACTGTTAACACCCTCCAACACTTATTAACACTTCCTTTTTTCCCTAAATTTTCTCCCAAACAAGTGTTGAACTAAACACTCACTAACATTTCTATTACTAACATCTGCCATCACTCAATCCAATTTATACTACATATACAAACTCAGCACCACTTTTCTTCTCCCTCCCTCCCTCCCTCCCTCCCTTCTTTTCACGCACCCCCCCTTCCCCTTCCCTTTCTTCTCTTTTCTATCTCATTTTTCTCCATTTCAAGATCTCCCCCCTTCTTTAAGATTTCTCTATTTTACCATCTTTCCCCCTCCAACCTTCGATCTTCTCCTGCTTCTCTCCTCTCCACAGGTGACGTTGCTGACGGCGGGCCTACGCCGGTTGCCGTTTCGGATGCAACCTCAAGGGAAGGGGCAACGATGAATACAGACCAAGAAACTTTGAATAACTTGAGTAGCATATCTTCTTTTCTTGATTTTGTTTGCTTGATTTTTTGGTGTATTTTCGAAATAAAAGGGGTTGTCTATTTGCAGACAACTTGTAAGTGCTATGTCTATATTTGTTTGTAAGACTCGATGAAGTTGTTTGTCATTTGAAAAATAAATGTTTGTAATTGATATATAAGTATTTGTCATTTGATTATTAATTATTTGTATTTGTTTTGAGTTATCTATAATGACTTGTCTGTCATGTTGTTGTGAGGTGTTTGTAGGATCGTGAAGTTGTCTGTAACTCATATTTAGTTGTTTGTCATTTGATTGTCAGTTGTATGTAATTTGTGGTGAAAAATAATGTTTGTCTGGTTATCTCTCTATTGTCCATCTAGTTATACGTATTGTCTGTTTTTTATGAAACATATGCCAAAATGGTAGTTCACAATAAAGTAGTTTCTTTATGTGTATACTTATTGTCTGAATGTGTATACCTAATGCCTGTCTAGTTATACTAATTACATCTCAAAAAGCACACACCACAAATTACATACTACTCACAATCAAATACAGACAATTCAAAACAAATATGGACAACTCAAAACAAATGACAAACAATTAACCATCAATTACAGACATTTATTTTTTGAATGACTGACAACTTACGAGTCTTACTAACAAATACAAACACTGCACTCACAAAGACAACTCTTTTTATTTCGAAAATACGCCAAAAAAATCAAGGGAAAAAATCAAGTAATTCAAAGATTATTGGTCTGCATTTTCATCGTTGTCTCCCTGTGTCAAGCTATCCAACGCCACTGAACTCTCCCCGTTCATCCAATTACTGTAGCTCGTGCATTTGAAACGGAAAAAAAAGGCGGAAGAGGAGAGAAGCAGGAGAAGAAGCTTGGAGGGGGGAAGATGGAAAAAAATTAGAAGTATTAATGACGGGGAAGAGATCTTGAAATGGAGAAAAATCATGATTTGGAAAAAAGATAAGAAAGGGGAGGGGATGGGGGGTTGCGTGGAAAGGAGAGAGGGTAGGAGGAGAGAAGAAAAGTGAGGGAGGAAGTAGGGGAGGGTGGGAGGGGAGAAGAAAAGTGGGGGAAAGTTTTTATATGAGATAAAAAGTGGGGTGCCTATAGCAAAATTTTCAATCAAATTCATTAGAGAATTTACTATAAATAGGACTAAAAACGCTTGTAAACTACAAAATAGGACTGCCATGTTTTTAATTCCCAAAATGGGACTAATTACTGTCATGTTTTGACAGTACCAGACTTAAAACATGACAACATTTTCCAAATTTGACAGTAATTACTCCTATTTTGGGAATACAAACATGACAGACCTATTTTAGAATTTACATACGTTTTTGGTCCCATTTTGGGAACTTTCCCAATTCATTAAGTTAAGAGATATTACCCGAAATAGGACTAAAAGAGTTTGAAAATTCCAAAATAGGACTGCCATGTTTTTATTCCCAAAATAGGACTAATTACTGCCATGTTTTGGCAGTATCAGGCTTTAAACATGACAGTATTTTCCAAACTTGGCAGTAATTACTCCTATTTTGGAAATAAAAACATGACTGTCCTATTTTGGAATTTTCAAACTTTTTTAGTCCTATTTCGGGAACTTTCACCAATCACCAAATTCATCGTTCGAGCGGTAAACTCCGATTACCCAATTACCTGGTGATGTGGATGTCGACGTGGCAATTTTTTAGTGTTCTTTTATTATTTTCTTTTCCTTTTTCTCCACTTCTTTCTCTTTCTTGTCACTTTTTGTGTTGCCGTTTTTTTACAATTTTTTTGTTCAAATACATTTTTTCAATATAATAATATAAAACTAGAATATCAATTAAATTGAAGTAAATTACATATGAAATGCATCATATACTATTAACATAATGAGAAGATTCTTTCTCAAAGAGCAGGTAAGCGATTTTGTGATAAAAATTTCATTCTTAATTTGTTCTTTCACTTTGTACATTCTGAATCATGTTTTCGTTTTCGTTTCATCATATCACAAATTCTATAATATAATTGAAAATAGTACTAAATACGTTGATGGTTCATAAATACAAATTCAATCCACAAATTTTGATCACATATAAAAGTTTACAAGTATTCAGAGCCCATTTGGTCACCTTGTTTTGAACTTATCAGTCAATTTTTTCACCAAACACGTAACTTTTGATTTTGTGTGCTGATTTATGTAATACGGAGTAATTGAAATAAATAAGGTAGAATTTAATTTTCTTATTGGATTGTTGACTGAAGTTAATTACTATATGAAGCACTTAGCTATTTCTTCATATCACTTTATTTATTTTATTAACAAAATATATTTCACATATAATTTTTTCATAATTCAGCAAAATCAATCAATGCAATCACTTCAACCAAAATTTTCTAGATTTTAGTGAAACCAGTCGATTCAAACTATTTCAGCATCGGATCTCATTACTAAAATACTTATAATATGCGTTATATACCCAACGCCTTACTGCCTAATGGTACGTAACAATTAAAAGAAAAAACTAAAAGATGTACGTAGTAAATAATGAAATACTCCATAGCAAACAAGTAATCTGAAAATCCTTCAAATCAACCACATCAATTAGTAAAATAAGTAAAAGTCATAAAGCATACGGTGGCCTATTGAGCTGTTGTGCCGAAGGGGATAAGAGAGCAAGTCATTTACTCGTCCACAATGTCTACGGAGTACAGATGTTCTAAATTAAAATATACATATACAATATTAATGGGTTTAATTTAAAAATTGGAGGCCCCTAATATTTGGAGGCCCTAGACAAGTGTCTAGGCACCCTCCCCTATAGCCGGCCCTGCCTAACTTCTGCAAGTCTCCATCTTTGAGACTTCGAACATAGAAGGGGCTGAGACGGTGGGGCCTTGAGGTTTTGGTGTATGGAAGCCATGTGCGGAGCTAGGGGAGCACCCACTCATGGCCCTACCCCAGCTCCAACCCAAAATTTAAAAATGCTTTTTGTGTAAAAATATATTCTAAAAAATTCAAAAAATATTCTTTGTACCGGTCCAGTCCGACCTAATGCCCAAGTTCCGTCCCTGATGGAAGCCGGTAGGGGTGGGAACGTGTAGGTATGGAGGTATATAGGGACATCAGAGATGGTAAGTATGAATATAGGGGCGTCGAAGATGGTGGCTATGGAGGTAGGGTGGCGGAGGTGGTGTGTATGGAGCAGGGCCATAGATGGAGTTGTGCAAGGGAAAATGGTGAGATAAGTCCTACGCTTTAGAAGAAGTCATTTGTATCCTTTAGTATTTGTCTAATCAATCAAACATTTTTTCTATAAAAACCCCAAACCATATCCCATTTGTACTACATATAAAAACCCACCACCACTTTTCTTCTCCCCCTCCCTCTCTTCTTTTCTCGCACCCCCCTTCCCCTTCCCTTTCTTCTCTTTTCTAATTCATTTATTCTCCATTTGAAGAATTCATTTGAATATCTTCCCGATTGAATTGTTGGATGAAATTTCGTATGAGTTAACTAGACTTAATGAATAAGATGTTCAAAAAAATTCATCAAAAAAATCCACCGGAACATCACCAAATGGCAACGGCTGGACAGAGCCCCCTATATAAGGGCTTATTTGACCTTTTTATGTAAGTTTGAGGGTCTATTTGACCATTTTCCCTCTTTATTTTGATTCTTTGTTTTACTGAATGTGCTGGACGATTTTTTATGCTTGTAGGTGTGAATAATTGGCACAGGTTACCCTAATGAGGGTCCTAAGAAATGTATTTATAATAATAAGTTTCCTAAATACAGAATGATTCCTAATTAATATTAGCTATTACACCCCCTCAAACTGTGCGGGAGATACAACGCGCATGTTGTCTTTTAAAAAATGAAATTGCTGACTAGAAAGACTTTTTGTAAAAATATCAGCTAACTGAAGATGAGTAGGAACATATGTAACAAGTAAATCTCCATGAGCCACTCTCTCACGAACAAAATGGTAATCAATCTGAATATGCTTGCTCTGAGCGTGCTGGACCGGATTGGCCGTCAAATAAGAGGACAAGATATTATCACACAGAAGACGAACTGGTTCACGAACTGGGTAACCCAACTCGAACAAGATAGATCCGATGTGTATGGTGTCCTGAATTGTATAGGCAATGACCCGATATTCGGCCTCAGTGGAAGACTTTGACACTGTAGGTTGCTTTTTGGATTTCCATGAGACGAGATTAGGACCCAAGAAAATAGCAAACCCGGTTGTAGACCGTGAACTGTCAGGACAACCAGCCCAATCAGCATCAGAATAAGCCAAAATCCGTATAGATGTAGAAGATTTCTGAAGCCATAGTCCATGATCAATGGTGCCCTGCAAATATCTGAAAATATGTTTGACTGCAAGCATATGAGTATTACGAGGAGCATGCATAAACTGAGACACTAAATGAACTGCACAAGTAATATCAGGCCTTGTCAATGTTAAATACTGTAAACCACCTACCATACTACGGTATTCAGTAGCATCTGCTAGTAACTCTCCATCCGTGAGAGACAAAGATGTTCGAGTGGCTAATGGAGTTCGCACAGCTTTTAAGGTGTGAAAATGAAACTGATGAAGAAGATCGGACTCATATTTTTGCTAGGAGAGAAATAAACCTGTGGGAGTGCGAGCTGCTTGAACTCTTAAAAAATAATGTAAATCACCAAGATCTTTCATGGCAAATTGTGAAGCAAGAAGACTCATGAAAGAAGTGAGAAGAGATGGGGAATTGCCAGTTAATATAATATCATCCACATATAACAACAAATACAAAATAGATGACCCGGTGCGATAAATAAACAAAGAATTATCAGACTTACTACACAGGAAATTGTGAGAGAGAAGAAAATTGCTAAATCTATGAAACCAAGCGCGCGGGGCTTGCTTAAGGCCATAAATAGCCTTACACAGCTGACATACATGATCAGGGCAGAGAGGATGAACAAAACCCCGCGGCTGACGCATATATACTTCTTCAGTAAGTTGACTATAAAGGAAAGCATTTTTGACATCTAATTGACGCATAAACCACCCAAAAGAAACGGCTAATGTAAGAACAATTTTGGAATCTCAAAATGTGTTGAAGAATAATATTAGAAGGCAGCTGGGAATGGTGTGAATATTCAAGTTTGGGTGGATGCTTGGTTACCAGAGTCGGGAACTGGTCGCGTCCAATCAGCAAAACCGACAAGTATTATGGATATGAATGTAGGGAGAGAGTGTTTTCTATTTTTAATGCGGAGGATAGCAAAAAGATTTTGAGCATTCCCATAAGTTTGAGGGATAGAGAGGATGGGTATTGGTGGATGGGAGAGCCAAATGGGTTATTTTCCTGTAAAGAGTTATTATAAGATGTTGACGGGGTGGTCTGAAGCGGGGGTCTGGGGAGGTTGGTCACACATGTCGGAGCTTCAAGTTCTTCCAAAGGAGGAGTATTTTATTTGGCAGGTTTTTGATGGATCTCTACCCTTGTTAGTAAATCTTTATAAGAGAGTTGTGCTAATCCAAATGACTTGTTGTATTTGCAGTCTGGAGGAGGAGACCGTGGAACATGGAGGAGACAGTAAAACATGCCTTGCATTTGTGCGAGAAGGTCAAGGAAGTTTGAGCATCTTCTCAAGGAAGTTTGAACAACTGCAAAGAGGAGTTTTAAAGGGGGACCTTCAAGGAGTGATTAACGGTTACACTTGAGGTGCCTATGAAGGATGATTGCTGCAATTTTATTACACTTCTATGGAGCATGGCATGGGAAAACGAATGAAGACAAGAAAGGGTTTTATATCAAAATAAATGTTGATGCAACCGTTAATAACGCCAACGATATTAGAGCTTGGAGTTGGATTGCAATAAACGATCAGGTTGGATTTATCAAAGCCTGCAAAAAGTCATGTCAGGCGAACTAGTCCTCAATTGAAGATGAAGCAATTGGAATGGAAGCAGTTTGAATACAAGAGGCTACTCTAGGAGCACAAAAGGAAGGATGGGAACACGTTGAGCTCAAATCAAAATCCCTCACAGTGGTACACAGAATTAAAAAAAAAAAGGAAAGGAAGCTTGTATCTTAATTTACTGATTGATAACGTTAGACACCTTATTAAAACAAAGAGTAATTTTAGTATCTCTTTTTGTAAAAGATTTGTGAATCATGTAGCTCATGTTATTGCAAGTAGATGTGGACAAAGTCTGAGCAAGGCCAAGCTCCAGGTCGGGCTGGGGTGGGCTCCGCGTCTTACATATTCAAACCTAGTACCGAGTCAACCAAGACCGGAGTGGGTCGGGCAAAATTAATTTCTTTTTGTTTTGTCATTTAGTATTAATTCGAACCACCCTACCCAAACCCTTCCAAACCACCCAACCTCCACCAACCTAAAACAAGCGCAACCCGAAAAGGTAAATAAGAAAAATTATTTGGTATCGGATCGAGCCCGGCCGGCCCGATCCACCTATTTCTAAACCCGTAGGCCGTAGCCCACCTCAAAAAGCAACCGGTTCAGGCCTCTAGCCCGGTCTTGATTGACCAGTTCGAGTCGGGTCCCAACAATGTCGAGCCGAGCCGGTCCAATCCACCCCTAATTGCAAGAGCGCACATGTCACTGACTCACTCTCAGATATAGATGCTATTTTGATTATATGCCTGATGTGTGCCATTTGACAAACGGTATGATTCTTTAATATGAATGTGTTTAATTTTTCCAAAAAAAGAAAAAGTTGACAAGAAATAGAGTTGAGGATATAATATTGCATTATTGCATATTGTATCCTTACTAATTTGGAATATTTGTCTCACACTCTTACAAAGTTTGAAGTATTTATATTATTTCCTTACCAATTTTAACTAGGCTAGCATATTAATTAACTGTTACAAAATATTACTCCGTATTATTTCACTAAACTTATCGAATAAGTTTCAAAACTTTCCAAAAACGGAAGGTAATGCAAGAATAAATGAAGAGTGTGAATGTATCTGCTACTCATTATTTATTATAAAATACTCCGTAAATAATGATACAATTCGAGCTGCATAAATTAAAAAAAAAAAATAACATATGACCCTAAATATTAGCCTACTAAACAAAAAAATATATCTGCTAATCAGTAAATCTTTAGCACTTTTCTAAAAACTTGCACATTTCTTTAAATTATTTAAGGCCTCGTGAGGCCTTAAATAGTGAAAAGTTGCCATTGTCTACCTCTGGTTTAGATAGTTTCGTAATTCTCATTGCAAAACCCTGCATTAAATAATAATAAAAGGAACCAATGAACTGTGAAGAAAGGAAACAATACATTACTGCAAACAATTATTCGTATTGTTATATTTAAAATAAAATATGTTTTTCTTATGTCACTGTTTCTTTTGCTATCATTTCTCATTCAATTGTCACAAAAAGGTTTGATACTTCCTATACCCTTGATCAATATGTTGAAAGACCAAATATACCCATCAACTTCCACTTGGAACATTTGAATAAAAAAAATTGTAGATAGAACCTTTATACCCTTATATACCCTAATAGTTGAGGATTACATGTTCTCTATAAGACAAATATATAGATAACTGGTATATATATATATATATATATATATATATATATATATATATATATATAGAGAGAGAGAGAGAGAGCGAGAGAGAGAGAGAGAGCGAGAGAGAGAGAGGAATGCTCAGGTCCATCCGGAGGGACGGGAAGTGCCATCCGAACTTTACTGTTTAAGGTGGTTCCCGGTGGAATTTTTTGATGAATTTTTTTAGCATGTTCCTTGTCAAGTCTAGTTTATCCATACCAAATTTCAGCTCAAAATTCGATCGGGAAGACATTCAAATAAATTCTTGAAACATACTGCACATTATATGTGCGCAGAATGTGCGGTATGTTTCAAGAATTTATTTAAATGTCTTTCCGATCGAATTTTGAGCTGAAATTTGGTATGGATAAACTAGACTTGATGAGGAACATGCTCAAAAAATTTCATCAAAAAATTCCACCGGGAACCGCTTCAAACAATAAAGTTCGGACGGAGACTCCCATCCCTCCGGATGAACATGATCTTTTCTATATATATATAGAGAGAGAGAGAGAGAATAATTCAGGTCCGGCCAGGCCGGACCACTGCTCCCGTCCGGCCTCCTCCATTTGGGGGCCTTCCCGATGGTATTTTTTGCTCAAATTTTTTGTGTAGGTTCCTCATTAAGTCTAGTTCATCCATACCGAATTTCAGCCAAAAATTCAATCGGAAAGGTCGTTAAATGATTTTTGCAAGTTAACTGATCCGGAAAATACATATTCCGGACCACTTAACTTGCAAAAATCATTTGACGACCTTCCCGATTGAATTTTTGGCTGAAATTGGGTATGGATGAACTAAACTTGATGAGGAACCTACACAAAAAATTTGAGCAAAAAATACCATCGGGAAGGCCCCCAAATGGAGAAGGCCGGACGGGGGGAGTGGTCCGGCTTGGCCAGACCTGAAAACTGGTCTATATATATATACTCCCTCCGTATTTTAATGTTCCAAACATTAGCTTTGGGCACAAGATTTAAGGGAGAATAGTAGGAGTAATGAATAGTATAAAAAAGTAGGAGATAAGATAAAAAAGTAGGAAAGAGGATAAAAAGTAGAAAAAGTAAGGGTAATTGAGTATTTGTAAAAGAAAATTTTACCAAAAATTGAAAGTGTATGGAACTTTTAAATGAAATCCCAAAATGGAAAGTGTATGGAACTTTAAAAAATGGAGGGAGTATATTATATATATATATATATATATATATATATATATATATATATATATATATATATAGGGAGCACATCAGGTAAGAAGTGCTTTTAGGATGAGAACTGCGAAGTTAAATTTATAGACTAAATATAGGAACTTTTAACCAATAAATCATAATTTATAGACCCCTCGAAAATAATTATGAAATTGTCACCGCCAAAAAATAATTACGGAAACCTGGAAAAAAAATTGACGCGATGGCATATTCGTAATTATTATGGAGAGCTTTATAAGTTATTTATTGGTTATAAGTTCCTATATTTAGTCTATAAATTTACTGCGTTGTAAGATCGGATGCAATTCCAAATGCTGAGATTACTTCCCACTTCTCATTTAAGAGGCACTTCTCACCTGATCTTGTTTTTCTCTCCCTATATATATATGTATATATATATATATATATATATGTATATATATATATATATATATATATATATATATATATATATATATATATAGGATCATATTGGATGGATGAGATGAGTTTACACTTTGTATGGGAAGCACACTTTGTATCCGATCTTAACTGATCCGGAATAAACAGATAAAATGCAGTTAACTTGTAAAAATCATTTGACGAGCTTCCCAATTGAATATTTTGCTCAAATTTAGTATAGATGAACTAGACTTGATGAGGAACATACACAAAAAAATTGAGCAAAAAATACCACCGAGAACCACCTCAAATTGAGGTGGCCGGACGAGCCTCCTGTCCGGCCAAGCCGGACAGGAATAATTCTCTCTCTCTCTCTCTCTCTCTCTCTCTCTCTCTCTCTCTCTCTCTCTCTCTCTCTCTCTATATATATATATATATATATATATATATATATATATATATATGGGATGGTTCAAATACAAAGACTTCTTTCAATGCAAAGGGAGAATGAATCTTGTGCATTCATTTCCACATCTAATGGCTCAAAATGAGCCCAAAATGCACAAAATTCAACCAAATTCGCGGTGGCAATTTCGTAAATATGTTTCACATTTTTGCAACAGCCAAAAAGTGCAACAGAAACATGAAAATGTGCAATGAAAATGTGCAAGCAAAACATGCAAAAGTGCATATCTTCGCACTTTGCACGGGAAGATGTCTTTTTATTTGAACTCTTCCTTATATATACATATATGTGTGTGTGTGTTCTCTCATATATGGTTCAAGGATATATTTATTCCAACTTTACAACTTCTGTGTTCAACTATTCCAAAAAGGAAAGTTGAATACTATATATGTTCTAACATGTAGTTCAAAGTTATATTTGTTCGTTTTCTCTGGGGGAAAACAAATATGTGTTGTATATTGTTGCTCCAATTCCAATTACACAATTTTCAATTTTGTTCAAGCCAGCAACACTTTATAAAAGAATCTTTTATAAAGTAATAGTATAGTGATAGAATACCTCTATGTTGTTGTTTGATGAAAATGAAAAGAGCTTTTGCAAAACTTCATCTAAACCTGTGTCGTTGTTTATGGTATTTAGTTCTGAGTGCATCCAAAATAATTGCGCTGTGATGGTAACCTGCAAACGTTTTTGCGAAAGTGTGCTTCAAATATATAGAGGTATGAGTGCTTAAGAGGAGACACAACATTGCTTGGCAGTTGGCAGTATGACACGCCCATGAGTCATGATCATCATTGACTAACAATGATTAACATATACAAGAAATAATTGCAACAATAAATTTTAATACTCAAAACCATACCATCAAATAATCATTATGATCATCTGCATCATTCTCTTTTATTCCTAAGTTGTCAGCAGAAACTTGCCTTGCATTGTTAATCTTCAATCTTTCTTCTTCAAATATCTGGTGGGCTCTATTATTAGACAGTAAAAAATTTCTGTCAACATGCACCTAAAAATCAATGAAAAAATTAACATCAGATGCACATCTAGAGTGACAACCATGTTTAGCATGGAGTCTCAGTAAGTATCAAAAACTATATTCAACATTCTCAGCTAAACGTCATCCCTTTTGAAAAATGGAAAAACATTGAGTCACTTGATCAAACTCCTGCAGGCTAGAAATAAGTAAGCGGCATGCGCCAAATTTTGTCTCAAACACAATGTAGTATTAGTATGCAATAAGACCAGCATCCAATGGTAACTGCTATGCTAGGTGACACTAGCAACCAAGTTCTAGTTGGGATCTCAAGAGACCCCACACTTTCCATAATCTAATCAGAGCCCAATTTACGGACTCCCAGCTAAACTGGCATGTCGGTCCTAGGAGACATCATGGCTGGGGCGCATCCCTTTTTTTACAACAACATTCAAACCTTTTGCCCAAGAGTTAGGGAAATGCATCCATTTAAAAATGAGATCAAAGATGTCATGGGGCACAGTGACCATCATAGTGGAGGGACAAATTATTGGCGATGACCATGGCACATTTATGATGCTGCCATGATACATTAAAACTAAGAATTATATATATGACCTAAATATAATATAGTAGTTTGACTTAACCACCAATAGAAGAGTTAAATAACCCAAATAGTACCAAATACAATCCTAATGAAACCTACTTAATAACCATAACCAGGTCAGGTCTTGCAAAAAAGTGAATTTACAGGCTAAATGATGTAAAATAAAAACAAAAAACTAAAGTACTCCATACACTGTCACTAACTAAATACAGTCAATCCATTTTTACACAATGTGTATGAATATATATGATTAAGTTTCTTGCCTATTTCTTCACTGTCAAACTAGGAAAGAAAATTAATCATACCCATTCATACACATTGTCTAAATATCAGCCTAGTCGTCCCAATAATCAGCGCCTAGGTGTTGGGCGGCACTAAGTAGCGCCTAACGAGTTTTACAACGTAAAACAAAATATAAAAACAGAAATAAAACTAAAACTCTAAAACATACTTTCAAAAGCTTAAATGACATAAAACTAACATAAAAGTATAAAACATAGAAGCACAACCCCTTGGTGATTGCAGGGTGGTCATGGATTGGGCACTGGTAGGTCATTGGGTGGTCGTCGGGTGGGCTCTCAGTGGTTGTAGATCACTGGTTCCACAGCTCTCTTACAGAGTTACTACCGTTATACTTCTTATTGCCGATCAGAGGTGCGTGTTAGTCTAAGTGAATTGGGGTTTATAATTAGTTTTCCGGCCTAAGTTAATTTGGGCCTCTCTACTTGCGCCCTGATTACTTACTTCTTGTTGATTAGCTAAAAATCTGATATTTCCCAATGTTGATCAAACTTTGAGATCCAATTCTAAAAGCTAATCTCTTATAATATGAACAGTAGCTTAAACCGTTCCTTTTTAGCTTAAAATTCCAGCTTTTCAAGACGTTCTTCTAAAATTTGAGATTCAGTCCTACAAAGGCAATGTGATAGAATATGAAATCTAATTGTACACAATTAATATTTAGCAAGAACTTTTGACATTTCAAAACATTTGACTAAAATTTGAGATTCAGTCTAAAAATTCAAACTGATTATGAAAATTAGCTCAAAACTGAAAACAATTGCACTTTTTACATTCTAGAATATGCCAGTTTCGGGAGCAATGCGAATTGAACTAAGTCCAAGTCAATATGGGGTTTAAAAATTAGTTTTTGGCCTAATTTAATCTGGGCCTCTTTATCTGGGCCCTAATTACTTGTTGATTCAGTCATGTTCCTCGGTGAAAATACTAACTATGCAGTATGAGCCAGATTTCATATCATAGACAAATGTTGTATGAACCCCCCCCCCCCCCCCCCCCGAAATAAATTGCATCAATGAAATTATAGCATGTTATTACAACTTACATCATAACTATAATTGATGGCGTATTTAGAGTATCGACGTAAACACGATAGTGCCCCTGCATCGGCACAACAAATATAAAAATGTTAGAACTTCATATCAGTTTTTTCCTCATCTCTTTTCAGAAGCAGAAGACTATTACGTAACACCATAAATTGTTAATATAAGAGCTTGTCAGCTTGCATAATGGTTTGCAATTTTACAAGTGGTGTAAGCCCTCGATAAAGGTGAATGTCTAAAGTATAGAAAAAAATAGAAATGAAATCATTTCGGAACAGCCAACGGGTCCAAGCCCCTTGAGGCAAAACTTGCCTGTGAAGCTATAAGCACAAAAGCTTAATTAGCAGTTAAAAATCAGCATTCCGATCAATACATTCCATAAGATTTACTGTAAAAAACACACGGTATAACCTAGTGCTTACTCTTGTTTTACCCAAATTTATATGCAGATAGTGTCTGACACACAAAAAGGGTTTATGCATATTAAAGTAAAAGTGGGACAACTACTTTCTCAAACCACATGAAATCTAAGTGTTTGAAAGTACCTATTAGAGAGGATAAGGAATAAAAGGTTTTATTCTTTTAAAATTAAATAATTGATCTAAAAGGGTAAAGGTTGGTGACAGTGAGAATTTAGTCAATCTGCTTGTGCAGAATACCTATATGCATGTATCCAAACCTCAACACAAACAAAGCAGACGTTTTTGGACATAAACAATCTACGCCCTCTAGTGGCAAGCAAAGGCAGCTTAGCTACTGGTGAGTGCTAGAATCTATGGATAGAAAGATGGGGAAGCTCATATGCGGGAGGGACTAAGAGAGGAAGAAGACTAGGGTAGGGTGTCTCACTGAAGCCCAGATTTAAAAATAAGCCACTCTAAAAAGGCCTACGCTCCATATACCCTTTTCACCTTTAAGACTTCTCTGAATTTCAGCTACACATATGCATAGGCCTAGTTTCTGGCAACTGATGCTTAGGCGCCTTAGATGTAGGCTTAGTGCCCCTTTAAAGGAGTGCTATGTCAATAGCTGAGCTCAAACCATTCCTCTCAAGGGAAAAATAGAGGGAACTGAAAGGGGGAACACAATATGTGTCAATAGACTATTTACCTTTGAATCCTTCAGTGAATCCAAATATCTTCTTTAATACATTCATTTCACAAAGATCGTGGTATAGTGAATCCACAGGTCCATGAAATGCAACCTGATAAAACAAATAATAGTGATACATGTAGAGAGTTATTGATATTAAACCGCATTTGCATTATTATTCACAATAATCAAACATCTATAGAACAAAACATAAAGTTTTGCTTTTTCTATTACAAAATCAAACAAGAAAAAATGTTCATGGAAGCTAGATAAATTATGACCATGGTTTAAAAAGGCACTTAAGAGGCGGGTTTTGAGGCGCGTCTCAAGCTGAGGTGTACTAGTTAGGTATCAGGGCTTAGGTTTTTTTTGCAAGTTAAGAGGCTTACGCCTCACAGGTTGAGGCGCACTCTGAGGCCCAAGTATTTCATTTGATAAAAGGCCCAAGTGTTTCATTCAATACAAAGGTCAAAGTACTTTTTAAATAGAAGTCCATATACTAAACTCTAACAAGTCTTATTTCATTTAAATCCTAATGAGTCTTATTCATTATTTCATTTAAACCCTTAAGTCCCTAACGTTTACTTTCTATTCACCTATGCAAAGAACTCTCTCTTTCTCCTGCGACATCTTCTTACAACAGTGCAAAAGCTTCTAGGTAACTTCTCTTCTCTTCTACTCCATTCCCTTATCTTGCTCAGTTGCTCCTATTCATATTCAACTCCTATCCTTCACTGCTTCTTATCATTCTTTTACAGAACTGTTGTTCATGTTTTCTAACTGGTACAGGTTTTACTCTGCTTCCTTAGTCGTGTTATTTATATTACTTCTGTGCAGATTTAGTTTAATGGTGAGAGGTTCAAAGAAAAGATGTCATGGTGCTACTGCTACACCTAGTAGTTCTGAAGGCCTTGGTATTGCTACGGTACCTAAGAGGAACAGAAGAGACCCTGCTTGAAAGCATAGTGTTGAAGTAAACATTCCTGGAGTAAAGAACTATAAATACCTAATTACCTACAGTGCAACGATTGTGAAAAAACAATCACAGGAGGTATAAAGAGGATGAAAGACCATTTTGCTTGTACCAGAAAGAATGTTTCTCAAGGATAAATATTTCTGGGGCAAGTATGGCCTATGCTATCAAATCCACAAAACCGTTGGTAGAAGTGTTGAGGTTAGTTGATTCTGAAAAGAACCTGCAATGGCTTACCTCTATAATGATATGGATGAGGCAAAGGAAAAGATAGCAAGGAATTTAGGTGGACGTGTAAAAGATTACAAAGAAATATGGGGTAGTATTGATGAGAAATGGGATACTATCTGAATCCCCGTTGCCATTACGCTGATAACTTTTCAACTCATCTGGAGGTCAGGCTTGGTTTGTTTCATTGTTTGGAGAAACTCATACCTAGCAGAGAGTATCGGGCAAAAGCTAACTTTTCAATACAGCACTTTCCAGAAACCAAGAAGGAATTTTTGGCTTTTCTCAATCAAAAAATTCTTAAGAGAACCCCTCGTACATTTTATAAACTTTCTGTTTCTGCGCATTTAAAATATGATGTGAGGATTGTACTACAAGTATCCGTACTAATATAGGGAGGACTGTGGAGTTCCCTATTACTATCGGAGTGCACCAAGGATCGGCTCTGAGCCCTTTCTTATTTGCCATAGTCATGGATGAACTTACGAAGTCAATTCAAGATGAAATACTGTGGTGCATGATGTTTTCCGACGATATCTTATTGATTGATGAGACGAAATCAGGACTTAAAGCAAAGTTGGAAGTATGGCGTAAACATTGGAGAATAGGGGTTTCAGACTAAGTCGGAGCAAGACAGAGTACATGGAGTGCAAATTTGGTGGAGGTAGAAGCAGTGGTAATAGTGGAATTACTCTAGATGGTAAGGAGATATCAGTCAGTGATATGTTCCGTTACTTAGGCTCCATAATTCAGAAGGACGGGGAGTTAAATGAAGATGTATCCCATAGAATCAGAACAGGGTGGATGAAGTGGAAGAGTGTGTCAGGATTTTTATTTGATAAAGGTATGCCGACAGACTGAAGGGTAAATTTTATAGGATAGCAATTAGGCCTGCTTTGCTGTATGGCCTAGAGTGTTGGGCAGTGAAACAGTGTCACATTCAAAAGATGAGTGCGACAGAGATGCGCATGCTGCGTTGGATGTGTGGGCATACTAGGAAGGACCACGTGAGAAACGAGACAATCAGACAAAGGGTGGGAGTAGCACCTATTGAAGACAAGATGTGGGAGTCGCGCCTGCGTTGGTCATGTGCGTAGAAGAACGAGTGATGCACCTGTCATGCGTGTTGAGATGTGTGGAGAAGAGGCAGGGAAGAGAGGGAGAGGAAGATCCAAACAGACGTGGGTTAGGGGAGTCCAAAGTGATATGCTTCTTCTTGGGTTAGATGAGAGTATGGCTTTGGAGAGAGCAGTGGAGGGCGGGTATTCGGGTGGAGGAGTGATCTCGTATTATTATTTCCCCTCATCTTTTCTTCTTCTTCTTATTTTTTTATGTTTTTATCCTTATATATATAAACATTATTTTTATCCTTTTATTTTATCATTTTTAGGTTTATTCATCTCTTTTTATATTATCTTTTTTATCTTTATTTTCTTTCTTTTCCTTTTGGTGGTGATATCAGGTATCGATTCATGTTAGCCGACCCCAATATCTTTTGGGACTAAGGCTTGGATGTTGTTGTTGTTGATATTTTCTTTTCAAAACTGTCATTTTAGCCTTTTTAAGAAATATGGAGATGGCACTTGAGCTTTTTGCCTACAATATGTTTCTGCACACTTAAGCTTTATAGTTCAAGAAATGTTTTCTTCTTTTCAGTTGAATGGTGGATTCAATCCGGATATGGCACTCCTCGGCTTCAAACTTTTGCAATAGAAGTATTACATCTTACTTGTTCATTCTCCGATTGTGAGCGAAATTGGAGTACTTTCAATCAAGTACACACCAAGAGAAGAAATCACTTGACAAAAATTAGGATGAACTCTTTGGTGTATATAATGTTCAACAAAAGACTTAAAGATCGGCACCTTAAACTGAGATCCCTAACCAATGAAGAGGAAAATCTGTTGGTTGATGACTTGCATCTGATGATGAATGGCTGGTAGGTGAAAATGGTGTTGAACCAAACACATTTAGGGATGACCTTGATGTCGATCTTTTTGGAGGTCAACCATCACAGGAAGCTCAAACCAAAGAAAGTTCAAGCAAGCGGATGGGTAACCAAGGAAACAATAAGAAAAATAAACAAGTAGTGGAGGCAAATGATGATGAGGATGAAGATGAAGAGTATGAGGAGGGAGAATGGGATGATTTTGATAGTGATGATGGCGATAGGCCCTAAGATATGATGATTCTTCCAAAGAGCTTTCCTGTCATCATAGTAGTCACAGTGCATGGCGATGGACTTGGCGCAGAGGTAATATCAAGCGGCGTTGGCAATGGCGCTCAAATGGCGCTCGAGTAAAACATAACATTAAAAAACTTTAAACATAACATATAGACAATATACGTGTATGACTTAACCACCAATTAAAGAGTGAAATTGTTAAATAACCAAAGTAGTACTAAAAATAATCCAAACTGTCAAACACAATATAAGTAAAACACATCAGATGCATTATGATTTATGCATAATAAGTTAATATACATATTAAACATATTAAATGCTTAATATAAAATACAGTAATTAGTATAATAACATAACAATTTATGGAAGAGTATAATAACATTACATACATTAAAGCATAATCGTATAACACAGTATATGAAAAAGAAACAAAAGGAATAATTGTTCCATAAAAAAGAAAACTTTAAGAGGAATAAGACGTTAATTCCCTTTCTTTTAAGCACTGACCACAACATACAAAAACAAAAGACAATAACATGCATAATAGTGATAATACACCTAGGTGGTCGCAGGAGGCTGGGGGTGGTTGGATAGGTGCTGAGTGGTCGCCTGAGGCTAGGTGGTCGTTGGATGAGCGCTGGGTGGTCGCTGCTATCTGGCCGCTCCGACCACACTCCACAAACAGTAACGCAGATACAGAGATAAGAGTGATTCTTAGTATTACTAGCAGTCGTTTGTTTTTATGTTCAGAGAGTCACGTTACTTACTGAAGTAGGGCTGGGAAGTCAACATACGTACGCAGAGTCCATAATTATTCTGGGCCTATTTTTTTTAAATAAGCGCCACTTTTGGCGCATAAAAGCGAAGGTGAGGCAATAGCGCATATTTGGCGACGCCAACTGTATCCCCAGCGCAATAGCCATATTTCATGGCGGACGTTCTAAATCGCCAAAGGCGCTAAATGGCGATCGCCAAAGGCGGTATTGACTACTATGCCTGTCATGATGATTAAGCTTCATGCCTTCAAGATTTTTGAACTATGTCAATTGTGTGATGTGTCTGGTTGTCTGTGATGTTTCTGTGTGTTTGTGAGACTGATATGTCTGTTTCTGTGAGATGTTACTTTTTATGTGTTTGAAGTCTAGGGACTTCCTAGTAATAGGTCACATCTGTTTGCGTCTCACACTTTTTGGACTTATAATTATGGATATCCTTTACTTCTTGAGCTCTTTCTTAAGTTTAACTATTTTAAGTTTTATATGTCTGTATATTTTGAGGCTTACGCCTCGGCTCTTAGGAATAAGTTGTCTTGATACCCGAACCCACCTTTTAAAACCTTGATTGTCACTACTAGAATTCTGTAAAAACTAGTATTAGAGGTTCCTTTTCGGACAAAAGCTATATTGATTTGGAAGATACCAACTTAAAAGTTGGATCATCGTCATGATTACCTTACCCCAGTGCCACAAAGGCTCTCACCTATGGGGTAAGGGGGTCGGATGAATACCTATTTACTTTATTGCATCTTATTCCCATGCCAAAAAATAGTGAATCTTTGGCTGCATTGCAACACGTTCTAACTTACAAGCAGTGAATACTTTTATCCGTGCTCCATAGTCAAACACACAGATGCAAATCTAAAGCTTAAAAAGAACAGTCTTTAAGCCATACCTGAAATTTGATAGCAGTAGTGAAGTCAAAAAATGCAAACAAGGCAAAAAGATAGACCAGTAGAAATATATATAAGTGTCTCTCTTTGAGTACAATCACGTCATCATCGTGTGGTGTTGAGGATGAAGAATCAACAACAGGTGCAGGTGTGGGTAGAGAAAATGCTGGGTAACAAGGAAAGCTGGTTTTAACAAGCAGCAATCCGAATAACAGCAGGGCAGCAGCTTGATAATGTTTCATAATCGACTTCAGGGCATCGCATGAAGCTATTCTAGGTAGGCTTTGCTCGCTCAGAGTGTGATTTTGGTTTGTTACAGCAACCCCACGGATAGAAAGTTGTGATCTTGAACTTTCAAGAGTCACACGCGTGAATTTTGACGATTGGAAGAAACGTAATGGAGTAACTGGGTGGGAGAATGGTGATGAAAGCTCTCTGCATCCAAACGACCGCAGAAGAGTATTCGCCCTGATCATCGAGGTTGAGGCGATTGCCATAACGTATTCTGCCCAAAACTTGAGTCTGCGCAATTCTGATGTAAACTTAGGGCAAATTACGTTTTTATAATTACTATCTCTATCCCGGTAGCATTGGAACTCCTAATGATAAAGCTAGACAATTTTTAAGGCAGTGTTTGTTAATCTCAGACTATAGCTAGGAATTGAGAAAAAGGCCGATTTAGTACCTGAAGTCAGTGTTCTAAAACGCGTGAAAAAGCGCCGCCCAGGCGTGTTTAGGCGTGAGGCGTCTGTTTAACGCCTCGCACACCCAGTAAGCGTGGCAAAAGGCGGCTGCCTTAATAAAAGCCAGGTTTTGGGCCGTTTCAAACCAATAATTGGTCACAAGGCCCACGAATGCCTCAAGTAAACTTCTAAGTGGGAGAAGCTTAATTTATAGAGAAATGTTAAAGAGTGGTTCATATCCCTTCCGGTGTGGGAAAACTGGATGCCTTGAGTAATCAACCGTGTGGGAGAAGCATAAATGGAGAAGCATAAATTGTAGAGAAATGTTATAGAGTAGTTCATTTGGCCTCCGGTGTGGGAAAACTAAGACCAGCAAGTGAGCAACCCAACTAACATTGTTATTAAATTGAACTTTGTTAGATAATATACTATTATCCTAAATAATGATTATAATAATAATAGGAAGAAATAATTATATATTTATAACTAAAATATTAATTGATTATAAAAATGTGACTATCTTTTTAAATGGAAGTGACTATATTAGTAACTTTACTTAAAATAATTTATGTTTAACTTTTATACTCAAATTATTATCATAGTTGCATACGGAGTATTATACTACAACACTACTTGTGTTAGGAATCCGATAAAATGACTCCGTATGATACTCCGTATTATTTAATAGGGAAAGTTCCCGAAATAGGACTAAATAAGTTTGAAAATTCCAAAATAGGACTGCCATGTTTTTAATCCCAAAATAGGAGTAATTACTGTCAAGATTGGAAAATACTGTCATCTTTAAAGCCTGGTACTGCCAAAACATGGCAATAATTAATCCTATTTTGAAAAAAAAACATGGCAGTCCTATTTTTGGAATATTGAAGTGCTTTTAGCCTATTTAGGGTAATTTCTCTATTTAATACGATAGTATTAAATTAACATACTTAAAATGTTGATCTCAAGTCACATTTTTATCTATAATCCTTATTTTGATCATGCATTAGGTATTATTTAATATTAAATTAACATACTTAAAATGTTGATCTCAAGTCACATTTTTATCTATTATCCTTATTTTGATCATGCATTAGGTGTTATTTATTTATGTAAATATTAATATTTTATCATTAAATTACTTTTTTAAGTTATAGTTTTTGTGTACGTAATTGGTAAATCTCTACTCTGTATTTGTATGTTTTAGGACTCGAAAAACCTTTTTTTGTTGAAAATGAAAAAAGTATTTCGCATGTTGTTTTTGAATATCTTTATTTAATATTAAATTTAAATATTTATAATAGCTCTAGGAAAACGAAAATAAAGGAAAAAAATTCAAAAAGCCTTTTCACGCCTAAACTTCGCCTAAACCCGCCTAGGCTCTAAAGGCTTAAGGCTTGGCCATGCCGCATTGGCACGCCTCACGCCTTTTAGAACATTGCCTGAAGTTGACACAGATGGAGTAAAGAGTACTTCATTTTGAGAATATGCCAGTACATATATTAGTCGTTTCAGTATTGAAGAAGTACAAAGTTAAAAAACGAACGTCACGGTTGGTGAGGTGGATAACGGAATACTGATTTGGCAAAAAAAAAAAGTCATGTCATCCGTTTACTTACTAATAACCCTGTTGAAACCCTAAGACTCACCTTCTTAGACAAATTAACTGTAAGACCATGAAGTCCAAAGCTTAGAGACCTGAAACGGAAGAACGACTTCAAGCATTAAGCATGGAAGAAACGCAACGAAGGTATGATTACTTTGGTAGCCTATCTCTTATGTATATGAGTATATGCAAAATAATGTTCTTGAAGATATGTATTACGTTTTGTATTTACAACGTGAGATGCTTGTCATACATATAATAATAACGTGGATGATGAAGTGGTTTTATATTTTTGTTTTCAAATTGGTAGTTATGATCAAATGGGGAGCCGAAGTACCTCTGACAGTGGACTGCATGACCAGTTTGTTCAAAATTTGGGATTTGAAGATGAGGCAGCATCTGGTCTAGTTTTTGAACATGAATTCAATTCAGAAAACGAAGATGATGAGGAATTACAGCATGGCCGAATGCTGCTAAAAAAATGGTTACAAAGGAAAAGAGTGTTAGTAGAGGTAAAGGGTTGAATAAAGAAAAGAAAAATATAGGTCAAGAAGGGATAAATGAGGATGAAGCTGACAATGACACTGATTATTTCACTTCATCCGATGAAGGAAGTTACAAATGCGGGTCAGATGCAGAAGAAGAAGATGGGACTGTGAGAACAAAGTTAAGGTTTTCAAGTTTCAAACCAAGTGACAAGGTGGATTTCACTTTGGGAATGAGTTTTGAGTCAAAGTCTGAAGCTAAAGATGCCATGGACAAGTATTCTGTGACGAATAGGTATCCATACTATTGGGCAAAGAATTGTAAAAACATGTTCAAGGCCAAATGTTCAAATTTGGATAAAGGCTGCACTTGGATGGTTTACATTGCCATAGACAGTAGAAGTAACAGTAACAAGTGGGTTGTAAGGACATATCAAAGTAAGCATACATGCAACCCGGGCTGGAAATTACCTACTGCGACATCTTCATGGTTAGTGAAGAACTTTTTCATGTCCAAGGTAGGAGTGTGTGAACTGAAGGTGGCTTCAATGAGGGAGATGGTGAAGAAAGAATTGAACTGTGATGTATCTTTGGAACAAATGAGAAAAGCTAAGTCAATGCTTAGAAAGCTAGAAAAGGGAGACATAGAGGCTGAACATAGAAACTTGGAGGAGTATAAGGAAGAAATTTTAAGGTCAAATCAAGGTAATACATGCATCCTACAGCTTTTGCAGCCTAGCCTGGTGTTTGATAGATTTTATGTGTGCTTTCATGCATGCACAAAAAGATTCTTAGAGGGGTGTAGAAGACTGATAGGAATAGATGGGGCATTTTTGAAAACTGAAGTGAAGGGTGAAATTCTAACAGCAGTTGCAAGGGATGCAAACAACCAAATGTTCCCAATAGCATGCTGGGGGCAGTTGCAGGTTCTGAGACTAAAGCCACCTGGAAGTGGTTCCTATAGAATCTGAGAGAAGACTTGCATATTGGTAGAGGGAAAGGGTGGGCATTTGTTTCTGATCAACAAAAGGTGACATTGTCTTACATTTATGTTACATTCTGATGAATATGTCCTTGCCTTTGAATTTGTATGATGACATTGTATGATAGCATATTATGCATAATCAGTGACATTTTGGTTCATATGTCCTTGTTTGAGCACTGAATTTGTATGATGGCTTTATATTATTTCATAATTATGCATAATCAGCGAGACCTTGGTTAATATTTCGTTGGTTAAGTACTGAATTTGTATGATGGCTTTATAGTATTTCATAATTATGCATAATCAGTGAGACCTTGGTTAATAATTCCTTGGTTAAGTACTGAATTTGTGTGATGGCTCTGTATGATATCATATTACCATTAAGACAGTATTATTCACTGAATTAGCATGATGACAATATGATATCCACTTAATTAGCATAACCAATTTCACTTACAAGTGATCAGAACACTTAGTATGATATTCTATTATGCATAATCAGTGTCACTTACATTTTTGCAGGGGTTAATGCCAGCTTTATATGAGACCTTACCTGAGGTTGAACATAGAAGATGTGCTAGGCACATTTATGCCATTTGGAGAAGAAGTCATCCCGGGTTGGAGTTGCAACGGCAGTTCTGGAAGTGCTGCAAATGTGCCTCAAAGAAAGAATTTGAGCTGAATCTTGAGGTACTGAAAAGTCTTTCTCCAAGTGCTCATGATGATATTCTAAAGATAGATCCCAAGTTTTGGTGTAGAGCCTTTTTAAATAGGAGTATCAAGTGTGAAACAGTTGATAATAATCTATGCGAGGCTTTTAATGGTGTTATAGTACCTGCTAGATCTCAGTTTGGGTTTTCTCAATTGGAATATATTAGGAAGTTGGTCATGCAGAGGCTTATAAAGAATAGGAACTTGGGTGAAAAGTGGATAGGTCAGCTAGGTCCCAGAGTTAGGAGGAGGATAAACAAAGCTATAATGGAAAGTAATAATTGGAGAGTTCTATTCAATGGATCTGATGGATATGAAGTCTCTTGTGGATCACACACTTATTAGGTAGATTTGGACAATAGGAGTTGTTTATGTGAGCAATGGGATGTGTCCGGCATTTCATGCAAACATGCCATTTGTGCCATACAGGATAAGGGCCATAGAATTGAGGAAATTGTGTCACAATGATATAAGAAGGACATGTATTGTCATACATATGCTGAGATGATGACCACAAATGTTGGACCCCTATTTTGGCCTAAAACAAATATCAAAGTCATGCCAGCTGAGCAGAAAAAAATAAAATTGGGCAGACCAAGGAGAAATAGAATCAAAGAGATCGGTGAGATTCCTAGTAGTGGGAAGTTACCAAAGAGAGGAACTAGCATTACATGCTAACTGTGTTTCCAAAAAGGGAATAACAAAAAAGGTTGTCCTTCAAAAGACCAAATTTTGCAAGGCACAACAACCTTCCCTTCTGATTTGGAAGCTGGCAGTTCAAAAAGACCTAAAAGAGGAAGTGATAAATCACCTCCAAATACTGATCAGGTAATTGTTATTATAATGTGATGTATTTGGTATTACATTTATGTGGGTCTAAAAGGATCTGATATGTTTTGTTGGTAGGAGACTAACTCTACATTTGCTCCCCCAAATGAGACAAATGTGGAATATAGTAGATTGCAATCTTACTTCCATGAAAACACTGATATGCAAGACACAAATAGGGAAAGTGTGTTTCAGTTTAGGGGCCAAAAAGCTATCAGTGCAGCTGGTTTGAAGGTAAATATTTTTATTTGTAATTAATGTTGTTCTTCTGTTTTAGTATATACTCTTCATCCTAACTACAAATATTTTTTCTATTGTTGTGACAGAGATTGAGGCAAACAAAGGGAAAGGAGATTGCTGAAAGGTCTAGTATAGCTACAAAAACAAATGTTGCGCAATTGGAACCAACTGGAGTCTCAACAACATCAAGAAAGAGATTTAACCAGTTGTTTGATAGTATGGAAGATCTTGGTGCAAATTAGTGTAATACTGGCATTTGTGCAAAACTAGTTTGAAGTTTTGCATGTATTTTGTTGAATTTAGAACATATGCACTCTCTATTTTGCTTATACAGTTGTAGTGTGTGGGGGTAGAAACTTATGTGTTATCAGTTCAAACCTGCACTTTTTGCTTGAGAATGCAGTAGGGTTTTTGTCTTTTTGATGTCCAACCTGGCAAGGTTGGATATCATGGTTTTTTGGAAGGATAGCAGGGTTATTTTTGTATTTTATACCTGCCATTTGTAAAACAGAAATGAATGGAAGATTAGCAGGGTTTGTTGTTGACTTTAAACCTGCAGTTACTTGTATATCTCATGCCCATATCTGTGTTGTTTGATTTGAAATAATGCCAGATTAAGTGGCTGAAATGAATGGAAGTAGAAAGGTAATTTGTCTTTGTCTTATAGTAAGATTTTCAAAATCAAAACTTTATTTCTTTGACCAGGACATGGGCTTCAGTTTAGGTATCTAGGTGCAAAATCCAGTTCAGGACATGCATTCCTTATGATTCATGACTAGGACATATCTAGGTGCACTATGAAGTAGAATGAATATCATATGTGTTGGCCATTTTATTTACTGAAAGGATCGCATGGAATCATTTTGAAGTGAAAAAACTTTATAGACTCCACAAATGTGTTTTCAATTCAAATTCCTTGATTTTCTAGGAAGTTTATTATACATTTATACTGTTATACATTTCTTAAATTGCTATGGACAAAGTGAGAGTAGTAATCTGTACCAAGGTAGTTTTTTAATACCAAAGAACCGAAGTTTTACTGATCACTTTAGGTTTATCACATTATCAAGATAATGTGTGATGACATGAACCAAACACATTTGACCATCTAATTGATGTATTTCTGTTACTGGAGAAGTTTCATGCACAACAAGTGTATAATTGGAAACAGAGTGCTGACCATACTAAGAATAAACTTCACCATACAACATTGAGTTTACAAAGCATCTTAGAACATAGGAAATACAGATGCCTAGCAGCTATGCCATACATTGATCTAAAACTGAATTACATGAAAATGTTCAGATCTTAGTAACACACTACATAACAACACTCCACACGTACAACAATACAAGTGCTGATAAATACTGTCAGATTACGTTATGGAGCCTCATAAGTCTTATTTTCATTGCCAAACCAGATAAGCAACAGGAGTAGCAGCACAATTGATCCTATTATACACCATACGAAACTCCACAACTTATGTCTTTTCTGCACGGGCTTTGCCTCATCAAGCAAAGCTTGTAATTTGTTTATTTTCCTCAAAAGACCCGGTATAATCACCTTCGACCTTGCACAAACTTCTGGATCAATCCATTCAAACATATTGCAGCAGCCACCTATACCCTATTTTTAGTAATAACATGTCAAAATTTCACAATATCTATATAGGGTACATGTTACAGCAACCACAATTCAAAATGAATTCCAATTTTACAAAAATGAAAACAGGCTTACTCTTGAACATGCAATAAACCTTCTCCCTGGATTGTCATCAGTCCAAGACGTCATCAGCTTCATAGGAATTCCACATCTACACGACTACACTTTCCATGAGACATTTTTCTTGCACCAAAATTATCTTTCCAATTCCATTATAATAAAAAGTAAGGGAAGGAAGAAGTTCGTAGATCACTAAACCAAAAGAAATCTCTCAAAAGAAGGTACAAGCATAACAAAGTTTAATCAACTTACCGAAATGGAAGAAGATCTCCTCGAACGATGGCTATAGAACAAATCGTTGAACACTTGTGCTCCTCCTATCAATACTTCGATTTAGGGTTAGTGGAGAAATAAAAGAGGGGATGCTGAGTCGGCTTCCACCATGTACGAAATAAACTCCTCTTAATTGCCACGTTGGCATGTTTCAACGGGCCGTTTGGTTTTTGTACTACTTCAGCCATGAAATGGCTATTAGATGTACTCCTTCAGCTGAATCTCAAAATTGGGTACTCTTTACTCCATCCGGGTCAAGTTTATGTACTGATCTAACCATTTTCTCGCTAGGAATTACCTTTCCAGAAAATCTAGAAGGGTTCAAAGCTTTTGACAACGAAGAATCTTGCTTTTGACTCTTAGGTTAACAGCGACCCAACCCGTCAACAAATCTAATTCCCTACCCGTTTATATGTATTTACGAAGCCAATCCAGTTTTTTCATGCAACTCAAGCCCGTCAATATGTTCACTCAATATGTTTTTAATTGAAACTTCAATTATTATTTTTTTAACTTTATATATGCAATTTTGATGTCATTTGAAAGATCAAAAAAAGTTGTGAAAATTGAATTTTTTTTATAAAATTTAGATTGTAAATAAAAAAGATATAACCATTTAAATAAAAAAAGTGTTTTATTTTATCTTTGGTCCCACGTCCTGCTGCTCTCCCTTGATGCAACATGTGCTGCCTTCGATGCTATCTCTTTTGTTCGCAAGAGTGAATATGGGGCATAGTTATCCCTCCCATGGGGTATCCATACTCCCTGTGGCTCCCTCTTATACATATATTTGCTTGGGTTGAAGCTTAATTGGGGTGAATAACTTAAATTTGGGGTTTTCACGCCATCGGTTACGGACAGCCTTACAAATCCTTCAATTCACCCAATGGAGAGACTATTAACGTATTGCATGCGTTTTTTTATCGTGCGTACCAGGGGCGTATCCAGGGGGCGGGGACAGCGGCCCCCACTCAACCCACACCTAACTCCTATACATATTTTTTGTGTGTTAAATATGGCAATATATAGTAATAAGCGTGGCATATGAAATTACATACGCCTGTAGCCGAGTGGAAAGGAGTGCATGCGTTTGCTGGCTTTCAATTTAAAGGGTCGTGCCGTCGTGGGTTCGAACCTTGCTTTTAATTTTTTGTTGCTTTTTTCTCTTGAAGCCTTGAAATAGTTTTTTTTTTTTTACTTTTTTTGTTGTTGAAAAGATATAAACTACATCAATATACTTACTTGTTGGGTTCTTTCTTTATTTTTGACCCATGAGGAAAGCCCAACTCTTGAGCCCATCAAAAGTCTTCTTTGACTTTCTATTTTGGGAGCTAATATTGAAAACAGGGTCTGCCATCTATCGATTAATTCATGGACAGAAAGAGAGCAGCAGATAAGAGAGAACAATAACAAAACATGAGCTGAAGTGTGATCATCCCGTTTTTTCCAGCAGCAGCAGCAGAAAAATTCCGTTTCCCGGAGATTGAACCGTTCGATCGTCGCAATTTTTGGACAGCAGCTTCACAGCATCAGGGCCAATATTCTGGACGGTGGAGATTGGGTTTTGAGTTCTGGAGGTCGGGTTTCCTTGGTCTGGACAGTAGCTATTTTTCTGGTGATATATTTCTTATCTTGGCTCTATTTGATTTCATACACCTTGATGTTCTTACTTCCAAGGATATGATGATGTTGTATGCCTCTAGTATTATCTAGAGAAGATTTTGTACTGCTCCTTTGATGATGATAGTGGATTTAAGCGGCCAAAATGGTCCCGTGGTTTTTCCCTAGTTAACGGGTTTTCCATGCTAAAATTTCGGTGTCTTTGTGTGGTGTGTGCTTACTGTTTTAGCTCAATATCTTGGTGCATAGCAGTGGTATTGTGTATGTTCTAATTGCATTAAGAATACCCTATTTGTTTGCATCCTCAAAGGTTCATTCAAGTTGGGAAAGTTTAGCCAAATGGAGATTAATTCCGCATTTTATTAGTTACCGTTTGAGGCTGTTTTTCCCTTCATTACTAACCTACCATTCTAGTTTCACATATGAAATGATTTTGTACATAAAATAAATTAGTTTTTTTGTATACATGTAAATTTTCAATTTAAATTAATTCTAGGTATATGTTTGATTCTTCCCTTAGTTGATTCATTTATATATTGGTATAATTTTGCACAGATTACATAAATCATGTTATAATATTATTTATAACAAAGTGAAATTTAATTAAACAATAATATCATAATGTTTATGTTTTTGTTGCTGTAAAAAATGTTTTTGTATAGAGAATATTTTGTTATTTATAATTAATTTTACAATTTCTTTCTTAATCTGATTAGTCTAATTTTTCTAGTGATTTTTTTTAATCTAAGGTGAACTCGCTCCCGTTGGCGTATTTTTCTGGATATGCCACTGGTGCGTAGCATGCATTATTAAAAGTTCAATACTAGGTCTTAGTCTTAGTCAGTTCAATAGCTCCACTTCTAAAACATGCATTTTTTTGAACTTTTTAATCTAGTTTATATGCATTATTAAAATTTCTATCGGATGTAGGGCAAGCTAATGTCTTCTCTCCTAGGGCTGCGTTTCACCGCTGGGTTGCCTTCCGAATTCGATCGAGTTGATCGAAGTTCAGCTTTTGTTCTTGTTTTTATCTTTGCTTAGTCCTCAAACATTGTCTTCTCAGCTCGGCCACTGTGTGAAAGAGGTGTTTGTTCTGCTCGTTGTTTTGCTTTTCGGTTGGGATAGAGTGACAGGAAGAGGGTTATTCCAAAGGCTTGCAGATGGAAGAAATTGTTAACAACTACAAGAAGATGGCTATTGGGGAGCCAGATAACGAACTCGATTTTGATACAGAAGAAGCTGGTGATGAGGAAGTGACCGATGCACGGATTGGCTTTCCGGTGGTTGGTACGGTGATCTCCGATCGGAAGGTTAATTTGCAGGCACTTCAGGATGCAATGACTTCATCTTAGCGTCCAGGTAAGGGGGTATCCATCAAGGAAATCGATGAAAAAAGGTATCTCTTTACTTTTATTCATGTTTTAGATATGAACCGTGTGCTGGAAGATGGACCTTGGGTGTTTGAGAGAGATTTAGTGTTGTTGAAAACAGTTCAGCCATATGATATCTCTGAAAAACTAATTTTATTAGAAGTAGACTTTTGGGTTCAAGTGCATAATGTTCCTAAAAAATTTAGAAATCTGAATTATGCTAAGCGAATTGGGAATTTTATTGGCTCTTTTTATAAAGTTTGATGAAAACAGTTATGGAGACAAAAGAAAATCTTTCTTGAGAATCAGAATCTGTATGGATGTTAGGAAGCCCCTGAAAAATGGCACTTCTCTGAAAAAAGAAGGAAAGGGACATTGGGTTGATTTCAAGTATGAGAAACTACCCAATTTCTGTTTCATATGTGGGATGATTGGACATTCGGATAAGTTTTGCTTGTTACGATATGAGGAAGGAATTATTATTGAAATTTTTTTGGAGTTGAGCTTAGGGCAGGAGGAGGAGCAAAAACTACTCTAGCAGGTCCTAATAAGTGGCTTGTACAAGATCTTGTAAGCTCCAAGGAAGCTGGACAACAGAAGAAGCATGAACTCGAGGAGACACAGTCGGCTGGGACAGGGGCTAGTGCATCAAAGCAAGTAGCGCGCGGGTGATGTGGAAGGGGAACCAAGAAAGACTAAGCGCAGGAGATTATGGGAGGACAAGCTTGAAGAGGATACAGAGGACGAAGGCATGGCGCTTGATGGACCAAACAATGGGGAGGCAGCGGGTCAGACCTCCTAGACCCGCCGGTATTGCAGGGGATGTCTTTGATTAAGATTTCGAGTGCTGGAGTTTATTTCATTCTATGTCTTAGGTTTTACTTCCACAGATTTTCTATTGTGTTTTGTTTTAATTTTTCTATTATATGTGAAACTCGTGCATTAGGTTTGGAGGTTAAAAGGTCTGCGGTAGGCGTCGTTAGCTTTAATTTGCCCAAATTCGGTCTAGCGAGTTATATTGCTTTGTTTAAGGTGATTAACCTAGAGTCTCGGCCATGGGCAGATGGTTAGACGCGGTCCTTTCACTTTGCCGGCAATGGTGCTACCCATACCGACATACAGGTTGCCATGCATACCATGTCTCTCTCCGCCGGACGAAAATTGGTATATGGATATTGAGGCTATGTTTCACATGATGCCATCTTCAGGTACTCTCACTCCCTATTTTAATTTGAGCACTAATTCTCCCATATTGGTTGGTAATGGCAGTTCACTTCCAGTCATGGTCACGCCACCATACCTACAAAGTACAAATTCCTCTCCCTTACTGTTGTTTAAAGTACTCCATGCTCCACGTTTAATCAAAAATTTAATTTATGTTCATCTATTTACATTTGATAATAATGTCTCTGTGGAATTTGACTTGTTTGGTATTTCTGTGACGGATCTCCACCCAGTTTCAAATGGACCAAGTCCTGCCTCTCACACCCCTTCGGCTATGATGCATGTCTCCGACTGAATTTGGCACAGTCGGCTAGGCCACCCGGCGATCCAATTTTTAGCTTTCTTAGATCCAATAATTTTATTTGTTGCAATTCATGTCAATTAGGGAAACACATTAAACTATCTTTTACTTTATCTCAGTATGTTGCTCATTATCCATTTGATTTCATTCATAGTGATCTCTGGACATCCCCTGTTTTAAATTCTACTAGTCACTGTTATTATGTCTTATTTTTGGATGACTTTAGTAAATTCTTATGGGTCTTTCCACTTCAATACAAATCTCAAACTTTCTCCGTATTTGTTAACTTTTATAATTACATACGGACATAGTTTGAAAGAAAAATTAAGGTGTTCCAATGTGATAATGGCCGCGAGTTTGACAACTCTACCTTTCGGCAACTTTCGGCTATGACCGCTGCTAGTCGTGCAAGTTTACTGTCTTGTAATTAATATAACTATGCAATTTTAGAACCTTTTTACTAAAAAGAACACTATGAACGAAAATTAGACGTTGGCATCACTTTTTTTTATACTTTTTGTCCATCATAGGTTATATCCCCTACCCCCTTCACTCAAGCTTGGCTCCGACTCTGATCCCAATTACATTCACTTACATATTTAATTAACAAAAATTAGTATAAAAGTAGGACATATTATTAAAAAGAATAAAAAGATAGTAAATTAACATAATGACACTAACCCTAATTATGTTAGAGTTTTTCATAGGGGTGGGCAATTCGGTTTACGGTTTGGTTTTCTTCGATTTCGGTTCGGTTTCAGATTATTCGGGTTGGGAGAATTTGTACCAAACTAAAACCATTTGTGTTTCGGTTCGGTTTCGGTTTGAAGTTCGGTTTACCAAAGTAAAAAATATTATGTTTAATTTAGTTTGATTTGATTCGTTTGCTTATGATTATTATTTTATTTGATCAAGTTCAATATTTCAGAATTAGAAAGTGGAAGTAGTAGTCCATCTCATCTTTTTTTAATTTATTGATTATTTAAATAAAATGTAAAAGGAAATAAAAGATAAAAATAAATAATAAATTATTATAAATTGAAACTTCTAACATCTTTTTTATCACTGCATAAAATTCACTTCTTTCAAAAAATAAGTTAGTTGATTAGCATTTATAATATCACATAAAATATTCAAAAAACCTAAAAGAGTCGGTGGTACAAGTGTTGTAATATTCACAATTTTATTCAAATGAATCATGTAAAAATGTAAATGCAATTTGCTATGGTTATCGCCAAACATAATAAATACAAACATGTTAGGTAACTTTGTCATAATGAATGTATGAAATGTGTAAAATTTAAAATGATACGAGTATATGCTTAAATATGTATTTTCATGTCTAAATTTTTTATTTATATCTTAAAATGAAGAGTGAAGATATATACAAATTAAGTGTGTGCATATATATATGTTGTTCGGTGTTCGATTCGCTTTACGATTTTCCATTTTAAACCAAACCAAAGTACCAAACCATTCGGTTTGAGCAAATGTTTACCAAACAGTTTACTTAAGTAAACCCAAACCAAACCAAACCAAACCACCAATTTTAATAATTAATGTAAGTTTTTTGAGTTTCTTTAGTTCGGTTCGATTTTGTTCGGTTTTTATCGGTTTCTGTTTGGTTCGGTTTAATACAATTTGAAAGAAATAGTACCAAACTCAAATCAAACTGCATGCGGTCCGGTTTCGTTTCGGTTTAGTTCAGTTTGGTACGGTTCGGTTCGGTTAAACCAAACCGTTATGTACTTATGCCCGCCCCTAGTTTTTCACATGGTTGATGAAATTAATGGGTAGACTTACCTAAAAAAAAAATATTGATGGTGAAATTAAGATAACAAGAAGAAAGAAGCAAAAAAATAAAAAACAAAAAGAAAAAAGTGGAAGTGAAAATAAAAAGAAAACATAACAAAAAATAGATTGGAAAATATACCGATAGTATCTAATAAGAAGAGAATGATATTCACCGAGAAAGAATTGCTTGATGTTGTATTTGCTCTTGACAAGTTTCGTCCTTACTTGATTTTGTCTAAGGTAGTGATATTCACCGATCATTCTGCTCTTAAATATTTGATGCAAAAAGTGGATGCTAAGCCTAGATTGATTTAGTGGATATTACTACTTTAGGAGTTTGATATTGAGATAATGGATAAGAAAGGGGCTGAGAATTTAGCAGCTGATCACTTGAGTGGGTTAGAGAACCCTTTTCTTGATTCCTTGAATGAGAGAGACATTGAGGGTACTTTTCATGATGAGAGACTTTTGCATATCGTTTATGAGGTGCCTTGGTTTTCTAACATCGCCAACTATCTTGTAGGGGGTGTTGTTCCTTCTGATTATACACATCATCAACGAAGGAAATTTTTTGCTGATTTGAAGTATTATTTCTAGGAGGAACCATATTTGTTTCGTATTTGTGCTGATCAGGTTGTTAGAAGATGTGTTCCCCTTAGTGAAGGGGTTGAGATTCTTAAACACTGTCACTCCGGACCGACCGGGGGACACTATTCTTTTAACCGGACAACCCGTAAGGTATTGGAATGTGATTTCTTCTGGCCCACTTTGTTTAAAGATACTCTAACTTTTGTGTAGGAATGTGACAGATGTCAACGCATCGGGGCGGTTACCAAGAGGGGTGAGATGCCCCAGAATTTTATATTGGCTTTTGAGGTATTTGATGTTTGGGGCATTGACTTCATGGGGCCGTTCCCGGGTTCTAAAGGTAATAAATTCATTCTTGTTGCTGTGGATTATGTTTCTAAGTGGGTTGAGGCTGAAGCTCTGCCCACAAATGATGCTAGAGTTGTGATTCGCTTTCTGAAGAAGTTGTTTTCTAGATTTGAAGTGCCAAGAGCTTTGATGAGTGACAGGGGTACCCACTTTAGGAATGATCCCATGACTCGCCTTCTGGCAAAGTACGGGGTCACTCATAAAGGGGGCATCCCTTATCACCCTCAAACTAGTGGCCAAGTTGAGAACTCGAATAGGGACATTAAGACCATCCTTGAGAAGACTGTTGAGACCCATAGGAAGGATTGATCTGATAAGTTAGATGATGCGCCGTGGGCACTGCGTACAGCGTATAAGACACCCATTGGCACTACACCATTTCATTTGGTTTATGGGAAGGCGTGCCACCTTCCGGTAGAGATAGAGCATAAGGCCTATTGGGCCTTGAAAACACTGAATAAGGATCTTTCTTTGGGGGGTCGTGAGCGGCTTTGGAAGCTCAGCGAGTTGGATGAGTGGAGGCTCATGGCCTATGAGAACTGTAAGATGAATAAAGAGCGTACCAAAGCTTATCATGATCGGCATATTAAACAGGGAAAGGAGTTTTGTAAGGGGGATCAAGTTCTGTTGTTCAATCCCCGAATGAAATTTTTAAAGGAAAGTTGAAGTCTAGATGGTCCAGTCCTTTTGTAGTGAGCGAAGTTTTTCCATATGGAACAGTTGAAATTGACCATCCTGAAAAAGGCCGTTTTAAAGTTAACGGCCACCACTTGAAGAAATACTACGGAGGAGCGCTAGAACGCGAGCGTGAGGTGACCTTTGTCACGAATATTGAGTGTTGAGTGCGTAGTTGCGACGGGCAAACGATGTTAAAAATAGCGCTTCTTGGGAGGCACCCCGAGCTTAATTTGTGCTTCAGTAGTTTAGTTTTTTTTTATGCTTTTCAAAAACCCACAAAAACCCAAAAAAAAAGATGAATTTTGGTCGGGCATGGTCGTGCCTGGGCAGGCACGATTGTGCCTGCATTAAGAGATGAGACGCGAAGCTACTGCCAGCCAGGCACAATCATGTCTGGCTGGAGGCACGATCGTGCCTGGGACGCGAAAGAAGCATGTCGACTGCCAGCCAGGCACGATCGTGCCTGGATAAAATTACCAGAATACCCCCGCATTAAAACATAACACAAACCCAGCCCCTCTTCCCCTTCTCTCTTATGTGACCAGAGCCGAGACCTCCCCTGCGATCTTTTCTTCTTCCACGAAGCAAACTTCGACTGCGACCCACCACCACCACCGCACCACACCGGCGACCGCCGCACCACCGGCGTCCATCCAGACCGACCAACCTCACCCTTCTCTCTCCTCTCTTCACTCAAGGTATATCTTCTTCTTCTCCAACTTTCTTTACTCCATTAATGGATGTTTTGAAGCTTTGTGAGTCCGAATTGCATGTGCTCAAATCTTAGGGATTTTGACTTCTTTGTTCAAATTGAGGATTGAATTGATGCTATTAATGTTCTATAATGATGAATTTGCCTCTTTGGCTTGAAATCCCTAATTTTTGAGCTAATTTAGCCAATTTAGGGTTCATTTTGTTGAAAGTTTGAAAATTTTAGGGATTTTGTGCTCTTTGCTTGAATTAAGGATTGAATTGTTGCTTGAGATGATTTTTGATTGTTGTTGAGTCTAGTTGAGCATGAATTCCAAATTTTTCGGTGAAACCTTGTCAAAATTGAGAATTGTGAGTTCTTTCCCCAATTTTATTTTTCTTCTTAATAATTTTGGGAAGAACTCTATTCTAAAACATTGTGTAATGAATGATGCGTGCTTGTGACCTTGTTTATACCGTGTGTCATTGAAAACTTGAATTTTATTCAAAGAACTTTTCTTTGATAAAGTTCAAACTTTTCAACTATTCTGGTTAAACTTGGGTTTGTTTTAGCTATGATAATGCTCTTGCTTGATTAATTGGTGACGGGGCCATTATTATGATTTGTAAGTTTATTCTAACGCTTGAAGCCCCGTTGGAATTCTTGTTTTTGATTTGTTTTGACAGATGCCGCCATGACAGAAGCACACTAGAGGTGTGGGTGCTAGCTCCAGCAGGGCTAATACTGGCCGTTACCAACCACGAATCCCACTACTATGAGATAAGCTGAAATACCAAGAGCTGCTTCCCAAGACCATGGGTTCTTTTTCTACCCTGACGAGGGCACTCTCGCGGAGGCTAGGATAAGGGAGGAAGTGATGCAACTTCTGGGCAGAGGATGGTGGAGGCATTTATTCTTTGGGATTCGAGACCCCACCTACAGGGAGATCACGTGTGAGGTTCTGGCCACCTTCAAGATGCCTAAGGAGATTGTCATTACAGATAACCACAGGCCCGTGATCAAGTTCCGGGCATTTGAGGAGGACCACGCCATTTCTATGGCGGAGATGCATTATCACCTGGGCTTTACTCGCATCGAGGACGATGGCCAGCACGAGGCCATTTTCACAGACTTACCCCCCAACGTCAATCGCCAAACCTTTTGGGAGTCCATTACTATCGGGGGCGGGGAGTACAAGCCCAAGATGTCCCTGACGTGCACTTTGTCGTATGTGCACTCAAAGTAATAATACAATACAACAAATATATGTAGTATATTGAAGTAAGGTTCGTATACACAGGGAAAGGAACACTTCTCTTTTTATCGAGATAAATAAATAACAAAGGGGGGTTTTAGATTTGATTTGAATTAATTTAAACACGAAGATGAATAACTTATGTGGTTTAATTAATGAGAAGAAGACTTGGCTTTGCTATTATCCACTTAATGAAATGTTCGTCGATCCCGGTTATATCTTTAACTATCTTCCTCTTGAATACTCAATCGAGGAGTATATCCAATTCATCGAGGGTAGTTATTAATAACGAGACGCGTTCATTAATAAAACTTACTATCAAGTTAATATAGAACACGCGCCGTATATTCACTCGATAGTAGCAATAAAATCAAGATGAAAACAATTGAGATTGATAACCTCAACACAAGCGGTTTGTTGGTTTAATCAATATAATTAATCCCCCTTGGTTTATTAACCATGAGACGCATGCATTAACAAACCAAGTTTACTACCGTGAAAGGACCGAACTAATAACAAGCGTATTAATCGACCGATTCTAGTATATATGAAACAAAACTAGTTGATCCTTTAAGTAATGCTCAAAATATTAATATGAAATCGGAATAGGAATTAATTAATATTCAAGGAAGAAGATTAAAGAAAATAACTCACAACTTACAATTCATTAAGCTTCAAAGTAGCAAAACCAAGATGGAAGAGTTTAGCTCCTCATTTGGAGACTAAACATGAAGAAAATATAAAGAAATAACTTGTCTAAACTGAGCTTAGAAGTATATAGGAATTGGTGATTTTATTGTGAAGGAAAGGGGTGTATTTATAGGCTTTTGGGAGCTGCAGGGTCAGATACCCGACCGGGTATATAGAATACCCGACCGGGTATCTCAGGAAATTGCCCAGAAAGTCACTTTTCTGGGCATACCCGATCGGGTAAGGGTATATACCCGATCGGGTATGTGACAAAATCTTACGAAAATCTGCTCCCACGATCGTTTGTTCTCGGATTTGATTTGGACAATCGAATCAAGTAAATACCCGATCGGGTATAGGCAATACCCGACCGGGTACATGAGTATTTTTTCCAAATCGAAATCTTTCTTGTCTCCTTGCACTTTCCTTGATCTTTTAAGGTCCAATCTTGATCCTTTGGATGATCTTTGACCTATTTAGCTCAGAATAATCCTAATCTAAACAAATTACAAATAAAAATGAAAATAAAATATTACACCAAAAGTGTTTAATTTCCACAACTAGAACTAATAAAAACTAGTTAAAAATACAAACATACAATTGCAAATTACACCGATATCAGTCCCCGAGCACGCTCTTATACCCACGCCAGTACCGGATCATTCACTCCCTCCTCTCATCTACTATCACCGGCAAAGCCGAGGTTGCCAGTAAGGTCACTTCTACGGACCTATTCTTCCTCTGGTCTATGGTCCATAACCGTAAGCCCCACATGGGCTATCTTATTGCCAGACTCCTCCACTGCCAGGCCACGAACCACATCAAGTCTATTTTGTTGGCCCATTCATCACGCGACTCCTGATCGGGATGGGCTTCGGTGACCATTTTCAGAGGATGGAGGAGAGCTCCAGTTTTCTTGCGTTGACTCGGCTGCCCGATGTCAACACTGAAGTGGCACGAAAGAGAGCACATGCAGAGCTGGCAGCGGCAAGAGGAGAGCAGCAGGGTGCACCCCAGCACGCATGCATTCACATTGTTGAGGGCGGCGGAGCAGAGCATGATGAGGCTACTGATGATGAGATGGACGATGCGACACAGAATATACCCTATGCACCACCCTCATTTGACAAGACCTATACTAACACTTGGGCGGGGGTGCACGTGCATCACGAGGACGTCTACATGAGGCTTTCTGAGGAGCAGCACGAGAGATTCAAGAAGATGAGATTCGACCAGCAGGATTTCTATAGAGAGATGCGGGAGGACCAGGCGATGCACTACACATAGCTGCAGTCCCAGTATACACTGATTGATGAGCACCTCACTTCATTGAAGGATAGCTGACGCTCATTGTAACACCATCCCCGAATGTATTTACTTTTAAGTGAATAATAATGTATTTAACCTTGTGGAATGATTAATAAGTATACGAATTTGTGAATTTTTATTAATTCAGTTGCGTGAATAGTAAATTCGCACGTGGGGCCCACACCAGGAGCGGGGACCGCCCGATATTCCCAGGACCACATAAATTATTCATCTTGGTCTAGATAATATTTATATAGTGGTGGATATCTCATTTGAGCGATGGAAAGGTCCATAGTTGACCGATTGGACAAAAGAGACCCAAATACCGGTATTGGTAATTTTACCGATAAAAGCCCGAAATTTGATTTCGGAGACCTATAAATAAAAGTTGGGAAATGTATATTCATGATAAGGTTTATAATGATTATGAACACATAATATATTTTATTTGACCCGATAAAATAAAATATAATTAAAACAGTCCGAAAATACAACTTTCGGGACCGATTGTACACTTCTAGACAAAAAGGGTTGACCTCCCACATGAGTGGCGGCCAACCCACGAATTTGGTCACCCAAATGTAATGTTTGGCCGGCTGAGATGATGTGGGAACATGGGGGGGGGGGGGTGATGTGAAGGGAAAGGAATCAAACAAAAGAAATGGGGTGGACCTCTCCCCACACCCCATTCTATTGAGACAAAAGAAAATAACCACTCCCTCCTCCCTTATCCCTGAGGCCAGAACCCAAGCAAGAAGCAAAGAAGAATTTTCCATCCTTCATTCTCCATCCTTGAAGAGAGCTCAAGCTTAAGGAGTCAAAAAGGGGGTTTTTAAGAAGGAAAAAGTGAGGAGAAAGTGAGAAAGATTAAGGTAATGACCTTATATTAACTTTTCCTTTAGTTTTCCTCTATCATATGAGATATATATCATATAAAGACCCTTAAGGATTGTTCTACCTGATTTAAGTGTAGAATGATGGGTTGGAGGGTGGTTCCATGTCCGAAAACGGGCTTGGGAGCCAAACCGACAAGTTCATCGGAAAATAACCTTTTAGAGGTTATTTGTATTGATTAAGGTTTTATGATGTTAAAACCTTGTTAGGAACTTGATTAAAGTGTTTTTTTAGCTTCGTCGGAGTTTCGCCGGAGTTGGTCAAAGTTCGCCGGAGTTGGTCAAAGTTCGTCGGAATTCGTCAAAGTTCAACCGAGAAGCATAAGACGCGCTTAAGCTCACTTAAGGTGAGGATGACCGACTATATTGCTTATAATTATTGGGTTAATTTCATAAGATTACCTAAATGAATTATATGTGTTTGGTATGATTTATTAATGATTTAAAATGCCAAAATGAGATTATTGTTGTTTATAAGCAAAAATGCATAATATACAAATTTATGAATAAATTGTGTATGATTATGTGTTATGAATACAATGGCATGATATTGTATAAACTACAAATTCAATTGTGATAAATACACTTTTACCTCATGTGAGAAGGTCATGGAAGGATAAAAGTGATATTTTGATATTAGAGCCAAATTACACTTGAATGTGGAATTAAATGGAAATATACGAAATATTATGAATTAGCATTGGTTACATTAAGATTAAATGACTAGTATAGAAATACTAGTCGGAAATTGTAATTCAATGGTTCTTTGAAGCTAATCCCAAGATATTGAACTATGGTGATGCACCCTAAGTAACCTTAAATGATATGTTTAAGGTGGACTTTATGAACACAAGCTATGTTAGGAGTAGGCCTTAAGGGTTACTCAAAATGGATGAAGCCTAGACTAAGAAGTGGTTTAGGGATTAGATGACGTGACTATGAGCCGAGCTCTAGCACGTGGTAGTATGACTATGAGTCGAGCTCTAGCAAAATGTAGTATGACTATGAGCCGAGCTCTAGCAAAACGTAGTGTGACTATGAGCCGAACTCTGGCACAAATTAATATGACTATGAGCCGAGCTCTAGCAATATGTAGTGTGACTATAAGCCGAGCTCTGGCACAAATTAGTATGACTATGAGCCGAGCTCTAGCATGAAGGAACGTGAATTAATTACAAACTATTGACATCCTAGATTGAGGGTCTTGGAAATTGAAACTTTGATTATACTTAGTATAGTTGTCATTGTACTTGTCAAATGCTTCCAAGTACTGACCTCCCCTTCACGGGGGAGGCCACCTCACAGTTTCAGGTAGAACTTGAAGGTTGCTACCATCGCCGCTGTTTCGGGAATATCCAAGGAGAGGAGATGGGGTTCGTCCTTCCTCTGTTCCTATTTCACAAAAATTTCAATTAATGCTCATGGATATATTTTTAAAATATTTATTTAGGGCTTGTATGCTCATGTTTGCTGAAGTGTGGCATGAACACTTGTATTGAATGCTTCCGCTGTTTTAAAATGAATGTTTTACATTATGTTTGTTTATGGATGCACTATGTGTAAATGATATTCCAGACGCCTTGTACAGTATGGATGTGTTGGACTGCGGTTGACTATTCGTACTGTACGGCGGATTGTTGATGTGTCCAGGTAGGTCCGGGGCGTGACACTCATTCTTTGATGGATACCCTCCCCCTCCCCCTCCTGAGTATTAGCGATTAGATTAGATTTTCCTCTGCTAGCTTATGTATTGTTGACTCTGTTGGATGACTGTAAACTTAAACACTCTCACACATTCACACCTAACTCTCTATATTGTTGTGCTTTGTTGTTTAATGATGTGATGCAGCAGCTCAAACGAATGCTCAGTGGATGATGTGCCGCGAGATCAAAGACCCAATTTAGTTCCAGACCGACCAATACTATAGGGAAGTTTCAATAACTCTTTTTACTCGCTATGTAATGCTGACTTGAGTTAATTTTGAGCACGCGTGACCCTTTCCTCTTTATCCCTAGTGCATAGTGCATATTTAGTCATCGAGGGCGATGCCAAAGTTCAAGTGTGGGGGAGTGAATTGGGCATTCGGGCAGTAGTTGTTACATATAATTTCTAAGAGTTAGCATGCGCAGGTGTTAGTTGTATATTCATAGGAAATTCATGTCAAATTTTTGAAAATTTTTCTTTAAACTGTGTCTTTGTGAGCTGGCTAGCATTTTGACTATGCTTTTAGGATGTCCTTGAAGTGTTTAGGCTTAAATTGCTTGCACTATATTCTGATTGTTGAAAGGATGAAGGCATTAGTCACCCATCTAATGAAGTAA